ATAAATAAATATGTCTACCTCTTGGTTTTAATTAGTTACTGAATGTAGGTGATAGGTATACAGATACTGATTGTAGTTTCATTTTTTCTGAATAATTTTTTATGTGACACTTTTATGTTTGAAGTGAAGTTTCTGAAGGACATCTTTAAAAGATGGGCAAGACTCTGTCTCAAAAAACAATGGAAGTAAACATAAATTGTAATGTTCTGTGTTGTGTCAATGTTAATAGATGACTTTTTTATTTAAATAAAACTTTGTGTGCTGTATAATTAGTGCATAACGATGAAGTAAGAATTGAATGATACCACTCTCCTGTTTCAGAAGTTTATTACCGTTCTGTAGCTACCCAGGCTGGGGTGCAGTGGCGTGATGTCACCTCACTGCAACTTCCACTTGCTGGGTTCAAGCGATTCTCTGGCCTCAGCCTCCCGAGTAGCTGGGATTACAGGTGCCTGCCATGATGCCTGGCTAATTTTTGTACTTTTAGTAGAGACGGGGTTTCTCCATGTTGGCCAGGATGGTCTCGAACTCCCGACCTCAGGTGATCCGCCCGCCTTGGCCTCCCAAATTGCTGGGATTATAGACTGAGCCACTGTGCCCAGCTGTAGCTAAGATTTCTAATGCACTTCACCTTTTTATTATTTGAGTTTCAGTAACAAAATATCAGATACGAAAATTGCCAGATGTGCTACAGCTGAAGTTAGTTACTAAGTCAAGAGCATCAGATTCAGTTTGACCAAGTCTTTGACAATTATCCTGACCAGGAGAAGACTGCTGATCTTAGAAACAGGTATCAGGCTTTGTAAAAGTCTGCTGGGTTTTGTTTGTGTAGTTTGGTTTTACCTTAACTGTAGATTTACCTTATTGCGTGTGTGTATTATTGCTGTTGGGTAATGTGAGCATTGTGAATGCGTTTATATCTGTGTTCTTACTGTCTGTATACCACTTCCTAGAGAGGGAACCATGTGCTGGATTTAGCCAGTCATGCATTTTTCTATACCTTAAATCAAACTGGGCCATGCTTCACATCTACCCACAGTGAATAGGGGTCCTTTGATTTAGAAAAAATAGAGTTGACTGAATTCTGAACAAGTGAGTATTTTGTGAAAAACATTATTTTTCATTTTAAATATAAATGCCTAATACTGTGTATTCATTTACCCTTTATATCTCTATACATGCTTATCTTTTGTTATACCTTAGAGAAATGACCCACCATCAGTGAAAAGAAAGAAAGGCGTAGGCTGGGTGCAGTGGCTCACGCCTGTAATCCCAGCAATTTAGAAGGCCGAGGCAGGCAGATCACGAGGTCAGGAGTTCGAGACCAGCCTGGCTAACATGGTGAAACCCCGTCTGTACTATAAATACAAAAATTAACCAGACGTGGTGGTGAGTGCCTGCAGTCCCAGCTGCTCAGGAGGCTGAAGCAGGAGAATTGCTTGAATCCGGGAGGTGGAGGTTGAAGTGAGCCAAGATCGTGCCACTTACACCTTAAAATGGTAGATCATTTGTGGCCATTTGAAGTTCTTGAAGAATGGGAGCCATGTGTTACATAGTTATTTTAGAATCTAAAGTTGTTCTGTATTTATATAAAGTTTCTATTGTTTCTTTCCTTTAAACCCTGAAAGTGGTAGTTGGGAAGGAGGAGCCAGATATTTGGCATGGCCTGACAAAAATTAACTTATTTATTTATTTATTTATTTATTTATTTTTGAGGCAGAGTCTCACTCTGTCGCCCAGCCTGGAGTACAGTGGCACCATCTCAGCTCACTGCAACCTCTGCCTCCTAGGTTCTAGTGATTCCCCTGACAGCCTCCCCAGCAGCTGGGATTACAGGCACGTGCCACCACACCCAGCTAATTTTTGTATTTTTGGTAAAGACGGTGTTTCACCGTGTTGGCCAGGCTGGTAACTCCTGACCTCAAGTGATCCACTCACCTTGGCCTCCCAAAGTGCTGGGATTACAGGCGTGAGTCACTGCACCCAGCCTAACCTGTCTTTATAGCAGGATATGCTCACAGTTGGAGTATTTTCAATACATTGTGTATTCCGTGGATTTGTGGTTTTTTTTTTTTTTTTTTTTGAGACGAAGTCTCTCTCTGTTGCCCAGGCTGGGGTGCAGTGGCGTGATCTCGGCTCATTGCAAGCTCCGCCTCCCGGGTTCACGCCATTCTCCTGCCTCAGCCTCCCGAGTAGCTGGGACTACAGGCACCCGCCACCATGCCCAGCTAATTTTTTGTATTTTTAGTAGAGACAGGGTTTCACCGTGTTAGCCAGGATGGTGTTGATCTCCTGACCTCGTGATCCACCCGCCTTGGCCTCCCAAAGTGCTGGGATTACAGGCGTGCCCAGCGTCTGTGGATTTGTTTTAAGTAAAATCAGGCATTTGAGTTAACTCCTGGGTGTTAAATTACTGATTTATATAGGAAAGTTGGAAAAGGTGGTCAGCAGTTAACACAGGAAGTTCAAAGAGTTTATGGTGACTCTGGAATATTATTTGAATTACTAATTTAAAGTGATTTAGTATCTGTTACATATTATTGAATAAAGTAGAAAGTGTTTTTGGAATTTTACTTAGGAATATTTAACTGAGTCAGTTAATACTCGAGAAAATTTAACTGAATCATTCATCTTGCATATAATACTGTGCAACTACATCGGGATGGCGTATTTGATTTTTAATTTTAAATTTGATGTTTAATATTTTAAAAATAAGTGGCAAAGGAGAAGCTAAACAAGTAGGAAAGGGGTTCCTGTGCCTTCAGTGTGTTAAGAAGCCAGCTAAAGGGGAGTAAGGGGAAGCAGTGGTGTGATGCCAAGTTGTTCACGCTGCTATGACTCGGGCAGGGTCTAGGGTATCAATCCCAGACAACCCAGGCCTGGACTGATTGCTTCTGTTGGAAATTGACAGCTCATACTGGGCTCCCTCAGAATGTCGGCACTGCCACTGACTAATTCTGTGACCAGAGCACCTTTTATAGCCTCCATCAGCCTGTTTCCCCAGCTATAAAATGCTGAAAGTGAAACCTAGCTTAAATGGCTTTCTTGAGGAAAAGAAACATGTATCAACTATCTGGTACATAGTAGGTGCTCAGCAAATGTCCATTCCCTTTCTTTGTTGTACATTCCTCTTTTGAAGTTCAGTGCTTTACCAAGGCATTCCCTCTCTGCCGTGACTTGCTTTAATCCACCATCCTGGTCACCGGACATACAGTTGAGGGAGAAGAATGCAAGGCACTGAGGAAAGTTCTGGAGCAGAAAAGCCTTTGTTTACAAATAACTTGGGAACCTGCTAGAGGAAAACTTGTATGACTTGAGGTCAGATTATTTAACATTCATATGGTATTTGCATTTTTTTCAGTTAGTTCTGTTTAGTAGAGAAAAGTAATTTAGTCCATAAAAGAAGTTAAAGTTATTTTTAAAATTAACCCTCCAGTTTATAAACTGGATTTTAATCTGCCAGTAAGTTTATTCAAGTAAATATGTAAATTGATGCATAAAGCAGTTTATTATCAAGTGTGCAAGAAAATGTTACCTATTAACTCTGATATTTCAATAGTTAATTAAAAATCATCATGTAAAGAAAGTTATTTTACAGAATAATTGTTTTACGAAAGGGAATGTTGTGATTTACCTATGCAATCTTTTATAATTATAATTTGTATTTAAACATCGCAGTGTTTTCTGCCCTTAAAAACAAATGTTGACTTTAACAGCTTCTTTTTAGCATAGTTTTATAGTTTTTCACAACGTGGAATTTTAAAAACTTAATATAAAAGGGAACAAATAAAAATTATGGCAAATTAAGCTAATCTTTTCAATTAGGTATTTTGGAAATAAAATTGCTGTAACTGATTTGTTGTATTATGTAGCAAAACTTCTGTTTTTAGTCTATTAGTCCTAAAAATGTGGCAGTTTAGCTAAGACGTTTGTTGTGTGTCAGTGGAATTATTTTGAATTTTTACATAGAATATTTAACTTAAATTCTCATCATTTTTGTTGACAGTTTAAAATATATTCATTAAAATGTTCTCTTTTTTTGTCTTAGGAAAAATACATTCATGGGGAAGAGATGTAATAGGTTTGACATTACGGCAGTTACAGCATCTGAACAGGTTTGTTAAGAATAACTGTTTCTCAGGTGGAGAGATATTTCATCTCTTCAAGATGTCCTTAGGTTTTGATGGTGTAATAGTTGGATATTTTAATATTCCCTCCTGTAGTTGGCCTGGATCTGAATGATGAATGTGGCGGTTGTTAGAAGGAAAACTTGGGATTGTAACGTTCCCCAAATTGGGAAGGCATCGAGAGACCAAAGAATAATTTGGGTAAGTCCAGCTTGATGAATAGATGAGTTTACTCGGATTTACATACTGGACAATTCTGGGCAGCTCTAGAGTCACCCTGCCTCTCATCTGTAAGCCGCTTTTAAGCTTATATTCTGGCTGTTTGCCTACTGTGTGTGCACGATGAGACTGTTTTCCTTGATACGTTTTGAGGTATGTCCTGAGATGTTTGGGTTCTCAGGGACACCGGCTCCTCAGCTAGGCACTCTGACCTTGGCTCCCTGCCCAGCCTTCAGGGTTCAAGTAACACACATACCTGGTGAGGGACATACCACACTACAGTAACGTGGTGAGGGACATACCACACTACAGTTGTTGACATTGCTAGTTGTGGTTCGGTTTCCCCCTTGAAATGTTGCATTCTGTGAGATAATGGGAGGTAAGTACTACCAATTACATGAATCCAGAGGTCCAGAGTAGCCACTAATTTGGGTTAGAACATTATTAATCGCCTACCATTTGCAGTGTATCTCTATGCTATTACATAAAGATACACTGGTTCCTGCCCCGAGGCAGCTTGCTATCTAGAAGAGGAGATAGCATTTATAAAATAACTTATTGAAGTGATTTAGTGATTGTTCAGGAGATGGGAAGAACATTCAAGGAATGTATTTCAGAGATTGTAGTGTTTTTTTCTTAACACATGGTTGGTCTTTGTTCTCTGTTCTTCCCCTTTTGTTTGGGTAAGAAATTTACCATTTTAAGTCTCAAAGAGAAATGTGTCCTCTTGCTTGACATTAAATTTGGTTTACTAGTAATATAAATGAAGAAACTCAATACAAATGGTCTCCAGAGTGTAAGTGATGAGTGTTTCTGAGGAATAGAAGTTAGTTTTTTGGATTTTGATAGAAATAATGTTGTATATGGACTTAGGAGGCTGAGATGACAGGGTGGCTTGGGACTAGGAGTTCAAGACCAGCCTGGGCAACATAGTGAGATCCTTTCTCTAAAAAATAGAAAAAAATTATCTGGGTATGGTGGTACATGCCTACAGTCCTAGCGACCTGGGAGGTTGGGGTGGGAGGATCGCTGGAGCCCAGAATTCGATGCTGCAGTAAGCTACGATTGTGCCCATAACACTCCAGCCTAAGCGACAGAGCGAGACCCCCTCTCAAAGGGGAAAAATAAATGTTGTATGTGATAGTTAAGTTCCTAGGCCAGCCTCCAATGGCTCACTTAATCTTTCTACCAGTTACTTATATGAACTTCTGATTTTCCCCCTATTTAATAAACTATATTAGAGGCTAGATCTCATTCATGACTGTATACCCTGTAGCATCTACTCATGTGGCTTACAGATCATAGGAACTAGTTATCTTAAATTCTTTTTTGAACAAACTGTACTATAAAGTATACATCTATAAAGGAAAGTAGTTAATTCAATTAACGTTTGTTTGTTAGAACTGAAGGTGAAGCTAAAAGAACAACCCCCTGTATTACAAAAACTGCATCTGTTGTGTATGATAAAAAGGAAATGCAAAATGCATAGGGACAATGAATCACCTCTCCCCTGCTCAAATGGTATCCATTAAGTGTGCATCAGAAAGGAATTTTTTGTCAGGGCAGCTGCTGTTGTCCAGTCAAAAGAGACACTTGGATTCTTGAAGAAGCCAGCTTGCTTTTTAAAATTAAAAAATCTTATTTCTAAAACTGAAATTAGTTGGCAAGGAGGCATTGAAATTTTATGTATTTTATAAAACAGTATCAAATGATTATACTGTAGTGAGGAAAGTAGCACACAAATTTATGTAATAATTTGATGAAGGTACTGTTTGAATGTGCTGTACTTGCGTGAGTCTAAAGAATGTTTCCAGTTAAGTACAAGAATAGCAAAATGTGGAAACTTAAATTTAGCAGTTGTTCATTGTTGTTATATTACCATCCCAAATAATGTGGAAATATAGTTGGCATTCAGTGATTTTTTTATTGACCGATTGAATGAGTTATTCTGTTCCATGATTCCTACGTCCTGTTCCCCATTAAGTTCTTACCACTTACAAAGGATATAGTCATAGGCCCTACTGGTTATCCTAGAATCGACAGGCAGTATAACTTAACAGAAAGAGTGTTGGTGTTATGTAGAACTGGATTCAAATTCCGATTCTGCCACAGTAACCTTTCCCCACCTATAAAATGAGGGTTAGTACATATATCTCCAGGATTAAATGAGGTCATCTGAGAAGTGTGAGGCACAGTGCCTGGAACATAGTGTATATTTAATAAATATTTGCAACTATTAGCAAGTGTAAAATATGATGATCCTAATGATGATGGAAAAGACATAGGTTGGTAAGTGTCTACCAAATAAAAGATAACTGTGAGATAGTTATTTTATTGGTGTGATTGCTCTGTAACTGTGGCTAGTTAAGCCTAACAACTGTGATTGTTACCCAGTATCAGATGATCTAGGCAAAAATACTTAATATCTGCCAGTCAGTGTGTGATTAGACACATTTCTGCACCTAAAGGCTCATATAAACCGATTCAGAAAAAGCAAATAGATAAAATAAGGCTTACCCAGGTAGAAGAGTAAATGAGGTATTTGTTGATATGCTTTAGTGGGCTTGACAAAAGTGTGTAAACAGGTAGGCTGGAGGATAAATTATGTGTAATCTATGCCTCTAGCCCAGAAAGGTCAAAAATGTTTGAAAAAATAATTAAGGAACAAAAATACAGGGAAAAAAGTAGCCAAGGGACAGATATTGATATTCATTTTCCTTTTACAACTTTATTAAGGTATAATTTGTGTTCAACAAACTGCACACATTTGAAGTATATAACTCAAGTAGTTTTGACAAATAGATACACACATGAAACTACCACTTACAAATCTGAACATTTTCATGACCCTTAAAAGTTTCCATATGTCCTTTTGCAACACACACCCAATACAGGCAACCATTGATCTGTTTTCTGTTAAAATAGATTAGGCTGCATCTCTTAGAATTGTACATAAATGAAATCACACAGTATGTACTCTTGCATCTGGCTTCTTCCACTCAGCATAATGATTTGAGATTCATCCATGCTGTAACATGTACAGTAATGCATTTTTATTACGAAATAGTATACAGTTGTATGGTTGTATTACTCTTTTTTTTTTGAGACGGAGTCTCGCTCTGTAGCTCAGGCTGGAGTGTAGTGGCGCGATCTCAGCTCACTGCAGCCTCTGCCTCCTGGGTCCCAGTTGAAGCAATTCTCCTGCCTCAGCCTCCTGAATAGCTGGGATTACAGGCACACATCACCATGCCCATCTAATTTTTGTATTTTTAGTAGAGACGGGGTTTCACCATGTTGGCCAGGCTGTTCTTGAACTCCTGACCTGGTAATCCGCCTGCCTCAGCCTCCCAAAGTGCTGGGATTACAGCTGCGAGCCACTGCGCCCTGCCGATGTGTTACATTTTTGTACCTATTCACCTGTTAGTGGACATTTGGATTGTTTCCCAAATTACAACCCACATTTGGCTGTTGCAGAGATAGCTGCCATGAACTTTCGTGTACAAGTCTTTGTATGGACATGTAGTATCTCTTGGGTAAATATCCAGGAATGAAATAACTATGATGAATAATAGATGTATTTTTAACTTTTTAAGAAGGCATCAAGCTGTTTTCCAAAATGTTTGTACCATTTTACGTTCCCAGCAGCAGTAACTGGTGGGAATATGGCTCATTCTCAAAAGATGATCTGAAATTTCAAAAGTAAAAAAGTTATTGAAACATGTAATATGATGGTGGTAATTAGCCTACTCATAGGGTTGGTTGTGAGGATTAAATGTACTAATCCTTAAAAAACATTTAAGCACAGAGGGAGGCACTCAGTATTCATTAGCAATTTTATTGTTATTCTGTTGATCTAACTTCTTTGGTTGTTAACAGTAGTACATTAGTGACTAATTTTGATAGAGTAAAAATAAACAGACTGTATTTTAAAAATCAGAGTCACATATTGTATAAAATATTCATATTCATAAAAATACCTTTAAACAAAATACAAATTTAATTTTTTTTCCAGTAGAAGGGGCAGTGATTACCTGGCATTGTTGTAAAACCAGACTTAAGCTTGACATTATTGTAGTTATAGTCATTATTTATTTATTTATTTTTTGAGATGGCGTCTCGCTCTTTCACCCAGGCTGGAGTGCAGTGGCCTGATCTTGGCTTACCGCAACCTCCACCTCCCGGGTTCAAGCAGTTCTCCTGCCTCAGCCTCCCAAGTAGCTGTGATTACAGGCATGCACCACCATGCCCAGCTAATTTTTTGTATTTTTTGTAGAGATGGGGTTTCACCATGTTGGTCAGGCTGGTATTGAACTCCTCACCTTAGGTGATCTCCCCTCCTTGACCTTCCAAAGTGCTGGGATTACAGGCGTGAGCCATGGTGCCCAGCCTAGTTAGAGTCTTTAACACAGTTTTTGTTGCAGTTACCTCTCAGTGATATAACTTTTTATTATATACTGTAATTAAGAGTGTCAAGATATGAAAAATACACAATCCAGGATTGGTTATAACATTTTTTAAAAAGGTATTTACACTGACTTGTTCTTATTTAAAATGTGTTATACAGACATATCACCTTCACTTTGGGATGTGGAATTTGCTAAGTAGTTAGCCACAGAAAATGAACACCCCTTCAGAATGGGTTTGAAGAGCTGATCCACTGGATGAAAGAGGGGAAACTGGGAGTTCCCAATTAACAGTGAAGCAGGTAAGTGTTAATTTCAGGGGTTTATAAAATTCATTGAGATTATTTCTGCCAAATATTCACTTTTAGAGTGTAGATACTTAGATGAATTTCAAAACACTGTGTAGATATCCTCATGGTGTCCTAAAGAGAGTAAGTTGCAGCAGAATGCATGCAGTATAATAGAATTTTATAAAATTCGAAAACCAAATTTTGAATATACTTTGTTAGTTCTAAAGGTGATAAAACTGTAAAGAAAATGATCACCATAACATGGTATTTCAGGAAGGCAGAGTAATTGAGGAGGGACACCCAGGGGCTTCGACAGTACTATCATTCTGTTCCTCAAGTTGGACGGCAGGTTCACAGGTGGTCATTTCATCATGCTTTTATGTTATTATATGTTGTATATATTATAGTATATGTTAGCTATATTATACATTGTATTTTGTTTGTAACAATGTTTCATAATATTTTAAGGAATGAATGGAAATGGCACATAACGAAGATATGCAGTGCCTAGCCATCAGTAGAATCCCAGCATTATCAGATTCCAGGATAATTCCTGTACAAAAACAAGCAAACAAAGGACATCTTATCTATAATACAAAGACCATTTATATTCTAATAAACTGAGACATTCAAATAGGAAATCCCTCTTTTAAGGATGGCATTTTTAATATGCTTCGAAGTGTTTTGAAGCAGAAATTGGTTGTGAATAAGTCTACTTCTCCTTATTGATAGGAAAGTATAAGCTTGCTTCTAATGTCACTATTATCCCTGCCAATGAATTTAAATTCCTGGAGGTAGTGTTGCTTATGAACTCACTTACTTGCTTATTAATACCGGGTGCATTTACCCTCTTAGGGGATGACCATGGGTATTTTAAAAGATAAAAAATTTGCTGAGAATTCCTTAAATTTTTCTGATTTTTACTAGCCAGTGAGGACATTGTCCCTTTTTTGCAGGTAGCTTTGAAAGATGGTGATACCTCCACAGTTGAGACCATGTTGTTAAAACATCCTTTATTTAACCATTTACACATTTGGTTCTAAAGAATGTATTATCCTTAGATTCTTGGTTCTAAAGAATGTATTATCTTAAGATTCTTGTGTTATTACTATTCTTAAAATTGCTCTAAAACTTGCTGAGGTAATCAGCTTTACATTCTGTAAAAACAGATAACAAAACCCTCTTAATCCTGAAGGTGCTTTTAAAGTTCATGTATTTATACATGTATGCAAATTGGCTATTAAATTGGGAAGATTTTATTCTAAGTAACCAAATCTTAAGGAGCTAAAGCAAACCTGCTTTGTAAAATGTATTAATTCCAGGACTAAGCAATTTCTGAAAACAGACCGATTTACTGTGCTGCTTAGTATTTCCTCAAAGTAGAATACAAGCGACGGTAGCAGAGGGAGGAAGTAACTCACACCAGGAAGAACAAACAGCTGCTGGAATACGCTTGTGGTTTAGAGCTTCTTTTAAAAATCCTGTCAGCTGCAAAGAAAGGAAGGACTAATATTTTCCACGATGTCAGTAACATCTTTATGAAGATGCTCCTTTTGAATGTGGTACAGAAAGTTGGAAAACACTTAGGCATAGTATCTGGCATAGTGCCCCTTAGGGAGCACTTCATATACAGACGGTCCGGGGCTTAGGATGGTTTGACTCAGAATTTTTTGACTTTATGATGGTTCCAAAGGCGATGCACATTCAGGAGAAACTGAACTTTTAGTTCCCATACAACTATCTTGTTTTTCACATTCAGGACATTGTTCCCATAAATTACATGAGTTATTCAACCGTTTATAATAAAACAGGATTTGTATTAGATGATTTTGCCCAAATGGAGGTTAATGTAAGTGTTCTGAGTACGTTAAGGTAGGCTAGTCTAAGCTCTGATGCTCAGTAGGTTAGGGTGTATTAAAGGCATTTTGACTTACAGTATCCTTCCAATAAACCCATTGTAAGTCAAGAAGCACCTGTAGAGATCTACCTTTACCAATTTCAACTGTGACAAATTTAATGTTCCTGTATTGCTTTTAAATCGGAGAGCAGCAGCAGGTCTGAAATAAATACTGCAGTTAGCTTTGTGTTCTTCACTATTTATTGAACAGTTCAGAGGGCAAGGAAGCAAAGAGAAGCGCTCTGAGTGTGTCTTCGCTTGCCAGCTCCTGAATTGTTAACAGTTCTATAATGGCCTTCCTGTACTTTTCTCTCATTTTTTCTGTTCTCTTCCCTTTTTTTGACCCTGTCTCAAAAAAATCAAATAAAAATATCCCTTGGGAATATGTAATGTTTGTATATGGAAGCCCTCAATGCCTTTCTTGCTACCTGTAGGGTAAACTCCAAAATCCTTAGCTTAGCATTCAGATTCCTCCATCAAACTGGGTTCCTAGGCCAGCTATTTCAGAGTTAATGTTACTCTTGTTTGGGGGATAGTGTCTCGCTCTGTCACCCAGTCTGGAGTGCAGTAGCACAATCATGGCTCACTGCAACTACCACCTCCCAGGGCCCAAGCATTCCTCTCACCTCACCCTCCTGAGTTGCTGGGACCACAGACCTGCACCATGCCTGGCTAACTGGTTTTTGTACTTTTTGTAGGTTTTTGCCATGTTGCCCAGTCTAGTGTCCAACTCCTGGGCTCAAGGGATCCCACCCCTTCTTGGCCTCCCAAAGTGCTGGGATTACAGGCGTGAGCCATTGCACCCAGCTGATGTAAATGCTTTGGTTCCACCCCACCACCATGTGTGACTAATTTTTGTATTTTTAGTAGAGACGGGGTTTCAGCATGTTGGCCAGCCTAGTCTCGAACTCCTGACCTCAGTTGATCCACCTGCCTCGGCCTCCCAAAATGCTGGGATTACAGACGTGAGCCCAGCCCAGAAAACATTAGTTTTTAAGAGGCAACAGAATGGTAAGCTGAAAGTCCTGGTTATTATTGTCAGGGGCCACAGAGAGATCAAGTCAGATAGGAATCATTTGGATTTGATAAGGGATTACTAGTGGTTTTGAGAAGATTAAGACTAGAGAGGCAAATATTTTTATATTTTGTGGCAAAGGAGATGCAGTCAAAGTAGAGATTGGGGAAAAGGTTGAAAAAGTCTGCAAGGAGAAAAATCATCCTTTGACTGCTTACTGCATGCCAGGTAGAGATCTAAGTAAGCCCAAAACCATAGAGTGATCTTCAGTTTCTCTTATCCCACATGTTCACCCATTATCAAGTCTTGCTGGTTCTAGTATATTCCAGCTCATTGTATTTCTCTTCATCACCTCTGTGGCTAACAGCCTTTTCTAACCTAGATTTAATGTAGTAGTTTCCTAAGAAGTCTCTGTTTCCAATACTGATTTGTTACAATATATTCACCGTACAGCAACTGGAATGACATTTTTAAAAAGTAAATAGGACCATGTCTCTCTCCTACTGACAATGAACTTTCCATGACTTTCCATCACACCTAAGGTCTAAATTCCGTGTAACAGCCTGCAAGGTACAAAGTGAGGCCCTTGAAGTAGCATCTTATAGCTTCTTTGCTCTCTTGGTTTGAGCCACACTTTCTGTTGATTGACTGAAACCCCATGTGTGTTGAGGAGCATCTGTATATGATGCTTTGTGAGAGTCACATTAGGTTAAAGCTAAGTCAGTGACACATGCGGCTGTTGAAATAATTTTAGTATTTAAGAGAACTACCAAATCCGTAGAGTTTATAGGCAGTGGCAGAAAATAAAAGTGTTCCTGCACTTGTCCTTGATTTCCCTAATTGTGTAATCTCTTACATCATTATTTTTCCACCTACCACACCTATATGTTGTGACTGAACAGGGTAAAAAAAGTCTTAATCTCTCTAATGTTAACTCTTGATCAGTTGCTATAGCCATCTCTGAGATCGTATCTGGGCTTTGAAAAGAATGTTTAATTGCATTTTATTAGAGTTGTGTGCTATTGATAGAGGATAAGAGAGGGCCAGGTAAGCTTGATGTGTATGTATTGATTGTCTTAACCTCCCTGAGCTTTAGATTTAACTTTTAGTCTTTTTTTATTGGACAGCTTCACGTTTCTTAGGAATCTCAAATTCTGTATGGTATTTGAGTCTTCACCAAATTAGAAGGAGAAAATCTGTAATGGTCAATGTATATCAGTTAAACTCTTCGAATATGTGAGATGATAATAATTATCATTTATTGAGTTCTATGGGCCAGGAACTAAATGCTTTACAGTACAGAGATACTATATTAGATTGTCTACTTTTGGGAGAAGGGGCAGGAGAAGGGGAGATTTTCTTATGAGGGAAAAACTCCAAGATTACATCCCTGTTGTCTTTCCTCTGAATAGTTTCTAAGTTATTTGATTAAAAATTATGTTTTAATTAGAATTTGATGGCCTTTTAAAAACTTTTACTGACACTCAACATGTTTGTTTTTGTAGGAGCTGATTAAGGCTTTGGAACAGAAACCAGATGATGCACGATAGTATTGTCAAAGAGCTTATTGTCACATTCTTCTTGGGAGTTACTGTGGTAATTTTTCTTCCAAAGTATATTGTCCCTTTTTAATCAGTTACTTATACATTTTACCCGTGACAAATTAGTCAAATAAAATAAAGGTTGTCTTTGAGGATTTTTTAATTGGTCTTTCATACAAGGTAAAGTAGCTCAAGTGTGACAGACATGTTGAGCAACACCTATTTACATTTTATGGATGTCTCATTTTCCTTCATTGGGTGGAGAATGTATATAGATTTCATTCATAGTTATTGGGTAGGCTGATAAAGAATAGTATCATATTTACTCTTTGACAGAGTATTAAAATGAAATGCTCTTTGTATTCTTTATAAAAATGAATGTGGCCAGGCACGGTGGCTCATGCCTGTAATCCCAGCACTTTGGGAGGCCAAAGCTGGAGGATTACATGAGCCCAAGAGATCGAGTCCAGCCTGGACAACATAGCAAGACCCTGTCTATATTAAAAAATAATGTATTTCTGTGTTTTGTAACTTTAAAAAGTTATTCTGATGAATAATCTGGATAGGGAAAAACTGAATTTTTTTTTTTTTTTTTTTTTTTTTTTTTTAGACTGATTTTCTCTCTTCCTGGCTAGGCTGGAGTGCAGTGGCTTGATCTCAGCTCACTGCAGCCTTCTCCTCCTGGGTTCAAGCAATTCTCCTGCCTCAGCCTCCCAGGTAGCTGGGACTACAGGCACGTGCCACCATGCCTGGCTAATTTTGTATATTTAGCAGAGACTGGGTTTCACCATGTTGGCCAGGCTGGTCTCAAACTCCTGACCACAGGTGATCCACCCTCCTTGGCCTCCCAAAATACTGGGATTACAGGTGAGAGCCACTGCACCCGGCCAAATTACATAGATTATGCTAATGAGAAAAGGAGATGAATTTTGTGACACAGCTTTATTCATTGACTGAAGAGCTTTAAAAATGAAGCTAAATGTTAAGCCAAAAGGAAGGTACAAGAGTATTTATTTGAATTCTGTCTTGGATTAGCTTTTCCTAATTTAAAACCATTTGGTGTTTCTACAAACTCGAAAACTTAGAAATCTAAAACTGATTCATATTCTTTGTGTATTTGCTAGGATCTGTACATAACTGATGAAAAACTCATCTTTTTCTACATAGTTGCTGTTGCCGATGCAAAAAAGTCTTGCGAACTCAATCTAATTCCACTGCTGTGCTAAGAAAAGGGTATTCAATAGCTACTCTTTTTGTTGAGCTTGGACTGTAAATAGTAGATGTTTAATTTGTTGAATTGAGTTCATTGTAAGCTTTATAAGTAGTAAAATTCTATATTTATACATTTTATAGAAGAGATATGACTCAATTTTAAATACAAAGTTATAGTTCTATTATTTTGTTAACCATAGTATGTGATAGTAGATCTGTACTTAACATTAGTAAAATTCTATATTTATACATTTTATAGAAGAGATATGACTCAATTTTAAATACAAAGTTACAGTTCTATTATTTTGTTAACCATAGTATGTGATAGTAGATCTATACTTAACATATTTTAAAATAGTGATGATTGAAATAATGGCAAGGTGTAGATGAAACTGAAGGATTTCACATTACTTTTTTATCATTTGGAATTTACTGTATTTAACTGACTAGAGAACATCTTATTCTTCAGCCAAGCTGAATAGGCTGCATTGAATGCTATGAAAGCTCTGTATCTGTGTGCTTTATATCCCATCTTGTTTCTAAGTGTAACTTTATTCTTTAAGAAACTTTAATTCCTTTGTATAATTATATTTTGGAATAAGCAAGTATCTACAATTAAAGTGAAATTCCTTCTGAAGCAAGTTCTAAAATTAAATTTTACTGGAAATTGTACTAGATGTTAACAGTATTTAAGAAAGTCTCTTGGCTTACTAACATATACTTAAAATATATTTTTTCTTTCAACAATAGAAAATACTGAGATGTTTTTATTTAGAACTGCCTAAATTCCTTTCTTTTTTTTCTTTTTTCGGGGTCTGGCGGCACGGAGTCCTGCTCTGTCACCCAGGCTTGAGTGCAATGGCACCATCATAGTTCACTGCAGCCTTGAATTCCAGGGCTCAAGCCGTCCTTCTGCCTCTGCCTCCTGAGTAGCTGGGACTACAGGCAGGTGCCACCATACTGAGCTAATTCGTTAAACATTTTCTTTTGTTGAGACGAGATCTTGGTACATTGCCCAGACTGGTCCCTGAACTCCCAGCCTCAAGTGATCTACTGCCTTGGCCTCCCAAAGTGCTGGCATCATGGATATGAACCACTGCACCTGGCCCCTAAGTTCTTTTCTTGAATAATATCTTTCTTTTCTTTTTTTTTTTTTTTTTT